GATTTTAATGCAAAGAGAATATCTTAATTATGTTGTAAGATAAAACAGAAAAGTCTTCCTTGTCAGAAATGTTTTCTGGAAATCTACAAGTACCTATTTACCCATTTAGGAAAATTTCCCCACACAGGCACCTCTGATAAAATGTAAATGTGTTGACATACTTAATCCTCCTTAGTATGTTTCCTAAAGAGACTAAGGGAATGTTCCAATAAAGTAACTTCTGATGAAATATAGTATTCAACTTAGCTAAACAACTTATTTTATTTTTTCCTGTCTATCAGTTGGTTAGCTGTTCTTAACTTGTACATCACATTTCATACAAATAACTGCTCCTCCATATACTGAATCTGTGCTTCCCTGGCATTCATTTTGAAAAGAAAAACACAACAATAAAAAGATTTTTAAAAGGCCAAGGAAGATGTATCCTTATGCTTTTGAACAATTTCTTTGATGTTAATGAAAGTATGCATTTAGGCAATTTCATATTCATGTGTATCCTCTGTACTTACGCACTTAAAGAAATATACATATTCTGTGGTAGAGTCTTGGAAATACTTTTTTCATAAAAGAAAAAGAGCTAGAAGGTGAATACATATTCATGGAATCTGAGAGAGGAATAAAAACAAAGTTGTATTTCAGTTCATATTTACCAGAATTAGTAATTTATATGTCCCTTTAGAAATACTTCCTAGTACTTGCTGAAAAGATTTTCTTTCTGATTTATAACAGAAAAACAATGAAAACAGGTAGCTTAGGACAACAAAACAAATGACTTAAGAGGATTAAAAGATTAAAACCAAGCAAAGGAAGGCTGTCAGCTCTACCACTCAAGACTATGCAGAGAAGGGTACATTTCTGCAAAATAGAGCATTTCATGTAAAGAGTATTTCAGAAAATGCTTGGCCTTGACCATTTGGAGCACGTGAGGCAAATAGTTAATGAATGCCTTTATCAGAAATATAATAGCATATTGCATCTTTCTTACTATGAAATTCTAGAGCTCTTTCAGTTAGAAGAATAGAGAATCCTACTGTTACCCTAAATATCAAAGTCCGTAATTTCACTCACATAATAGAAGCCAATTCAATAAGCTCCTATCATAACTCTGCATTGATGGATTTCGCATCCTTATTTTCTGTGCTCCTTTCTGGGGAGAGAGTTCAAGTTTCATCTTTTATCCTGGTGCATCTTCACCACAATTAGCATAAAGGCTAAATAAAGCCTGGGGTTTAAAATAAATGTTTCTTTATAACATTAAGCAGTGAATTTAACAAAAAAGCACTGCCTCCTCTGCACACAGTTTCAGTGACCAGTAGGAATGGAAGCACAGTTGATATGATAGTTTCATCATCAACTGGAAAATGGTCAGGCTACTTGCTGCATAGGAGTGTGGGATACAAAAGAGTCGCAACAGGGAGATTTTGATTATTGCTAATGGTGGAGATCATTAGGCATCGAAAAATGTGCTCAGCCACCTTAGCAACTAGGAAAATTAAAACTGAAATGACAGTGGCACACTGACCAGATTGGCAAAAGTTAGAATGTAAGATCACATGGAGATGAAGCTTAGTATTAATGAAGAAAGCTGAAGATGTATATACCATAAGACCCGACGTCCAGAAATATATACCCTAGAAAAAGGTTTGTATAGGTGCCCCAGACTTATGTGGAATGGAAAAATAAATTGGAATACTATACAGTAATGTAAATGAATGAACACCAGTTACAGGTAGCATCATGGGAAATTATTACAATTTTAAGGTTGAGCAAAAGAATCATGACAGAGGGCCGGGGATTTAGCTCAGGGGTTTTGCCGCCTGCTGCGCAAGCACAAGGACCCAAGTTCGATCCCCAGTACCAAAAAAAAAAAAAAAAAAAAAAAAGAATCATGACATGAAAGAATGCCTATATTTTGTTTCTGTTCCTAAGAAATAAAAACAGGTAAAATCAAATTCCATTGCTTAGGAATTCATACATCAGCAGTAGCACTGCAAAGAAAAGCAAGAACTTGATTAACCCAAGTAAGACAGTTATTATTTCTAGAAGATAGAAGCATATTGGAGGGTCCTGGCTATTGGTTACATTCTATTTCTTAGTCTGGATTGGACGATTTGCTTAAATAATTATCAAAAATGTTAACATATTTCTCTGTGCTTTTCTATGTGCATGTTATATGATGCTATAAAAATAACACGTACACACACACACACACACACACACACACTGAACATATTGTCCAGGGCATGTACTGAACTGAGCTTAGCTGTTTGGAAGTCTGTTCAGGGCTGGCAGCTATGAGCAAAATGTGTACTGGCTCCAAGGTGGCCCTGCTTCCTGTAACTTCAGGTTGTTGTCTCACACAATCCTGATTTTATTCATTCGCTCTATGGCTACCCACTTGGTCTTACTGCATTGTGATTTAGGAATAAAACAATCAGGCATTAATATTTTAAATAAGTATTGCCTGGAAATTGCTAAGCAGTGCTCAGGACTCTTACTCTCACCTGCTCTCTCTCTCTCTCTCTCTCCCTCTCTCGCTCTCTGTCTGTCTCTCTCTCTCTCAATGACGTGTGAATTTGTTTCTGTCAGCCTCCTTGTACCTCAAGTGGCACAGGCTGCGTCCCATAGATAGTAAGGAGAAAATATGTTCAAGGATTTTTTTGTCATCTCCAAACACACGAGCAGAGGAATTTCTGAAAGATGTTTTCATCTTTCTAATTAGGTTAGAAATCTCAGGGGAGCAGTCCTATTTGCGATATTTTAATGGAAATGCTTCTGTTTCTGGTTGAAATTCTTGCAAGAACAGATTTCTCTTTTGGCACTTCCTGCTGAATGCCAAGTAGGGGAAAAAAGATTTTTTCTTAGTTTGGAAAACTTAAACTTGGGCTATAAGCAACTCATGCACAAGGGCTATATCTTTTTGATTCTCTTAAGTACATATTGTATGGTGTGGAGCTGCATGGAATGTCAGAAAATAAATGCTTATTAGGGATTTTTGACATATCTTTTTTCCTTCTAGAATTATAGGCAAGTCAGTGATGGAACATGGAACACTGCCCTTTATTCAAAACATTGTTTTTTCCCCATCTGATAGTCCATGAATGTGAATAGTTAAAATGAATCATTCTTTCATTCTAACATTGCCTCTTGTTAGTCAGTCTTGCCTTCTCACTGGTGTGATTTCTCTAAAGGACAAATCTCATTTTCTTTGTGTTTTCTGTGACATTTAAACATAATGCTGAGGTGCTTAATAAATTCTTTACACTTTTGATTCCATCTTTTAAATAGGAGATGTTTAAAAATATATTAAAAATCATGCTTTGAGACTCTAGCTATAGTCAGGGTCACGTAATGTGTGTTGTGGAAAATGACAGATTTTGAAGTCTTTTTTGCAACAGTTCTCATGTTACTGGTAATTGATAGGAATAGTTATTATTAACATGTCTGTATTTGCAGGAAGTACAAACTAAAGTATTTGAGGGGATGAAAAGAAATGGTCGTTAGTAAGAAGAGGGCTTCTGACCAATTTAAACATTCAATGGCAAAGAAATACTGGGAATATTAGGTGTGATGATAGTGGAAAATAATAATATCCCCTAGTGTCTCAGGCCATGAAAACAAGGTAAGTATAATTTAACACACTGAATTCTTTTCCCCATTGCTTAGTGTTATCAATGTCCCATTAGAAATTGTAGGTTCTCTTCAAGGAAACAAAAGCTACTGTTTGTGACAGGTCTTTTAGGGCCTCTCCAAAACCCTAACATTTAGTGTTCAATGTTAAATTTCACTCAAATACTTCAGTAGAATGCAGTGGGAATATGCTGTATAGAATACAGGTGAAAGAGTCTTCATGTGGAGTCCATGCAAAGGAGGCACCCTGATGTTGTATATAAAATGGATCTGTGTATATGTAGATGTTTCTGAACTTTCTGGCCTTTTGTTTGGGATTCATAATCTCCTTGCCAATGACAAGTACCACTGAGCAGTCAACTCTCTACATATATTCTGTGTCCTATAATCAGCTCTGTGAGCCCAACTGGACAATGGGATTTGAGAAAACAGCCTTTTCACAAAGACTCAAATGGGATTGAGCATGAAGACAGTTCTCACTCTGTTTCCATTTAGGAATGTTCAGGGGATCCCTTTCTAGAATTCACACAGCATGCTGGAAACACCAGAGACTATTAATACTGCATATATTCTTACTCTCAAGACTTGGCAAGGGTGTGAGTTGCGACATGCAGTCATTACAGAGATGATACTGCAAGGGCTGGCTAGCGATCAGGCAGATGTCTAGGCTTTAGCAGGTATGAGCTTTACCTCCTCCTTGGAGCTGCAGAATGGTCCAGATTGTGTTTGTTCTTCTATTCTCTGCAGCTAATATTTCCTATACAAAACTTTATTGAGATATAATAGATATACCATAAAATTTACCTTCTAAAATGTACAATTCAATGGAAGGTTTTTGGTGTTTTCACAGAATTGTGTAACCATAACTACTATTAATTTTCAAACCTATTTTTGGGACTCTTTTTATTGTTTTCCTCCAATAGTTCTAGAACAATGCTATGTCCTATTTACTGAAAAATGTATCTGTGCTCTGAAATTACCTCTGAATAAAATTGTCTTAAAACTTGTTTTAAGGTTGGTCTTGTGAACATACATTGATTTCATCACTTCTAGTGCCAGAATTATCTTTCTGTGACTCAACGTTTACAAAGAATGTATTAATCAGTTTTTAAAATGTAGGTAATGTCTCGTAGACCAAAGAAAATACCAGGATAAATGATTTGAATTTGCTTTTTTTGGAAGCCTAAAGCAGAGAGTATTTATAGTTTCATAAGGTTCAACATAATAAAACTTGCATGAATTTTTATGTTCAATCCATTGGCATTGCAAGCTTTGAAAGATATTGTGCTATAGGCTCATTAAAAGTAGAACAACTCATTCCTGCTTGAAACACACAGCTAAAATATTGTATTTGTGATTTTTTTTTACAGGATAAAATCTGCTTTAATAATTTATTCTCACTGGATGTGGTGTACACCTGTAAACCCAGCACTCGGCTGAGGCAGGAGGATTGCTGAGAGTTCAAGCCTAGCCTGAACCACACTCCGAGACCTTATCTAAAGCACAAAAACAAATTCTATTCTCTTTACCAACAACTGATTCAAGAATCAGGGGACCCAATTTAGGACTTCACACAAAGACAAACTAGTTGAAGACTCTAGGAAAGGGCTTCCCAAAAAGGTAAGCTCTAGCCTTTATTGTCCTCTGGGTGCTGATGCAGCTTGAGAATATGGCAGACATTGACTTACGAGGGGAGCCAGCTGCATGAAGATTCCCTAAAAGTCCAATATGCTCTGGCTGGAGTAAACCTTGCTGGAAATCCCATGCATACAGCCATTCTCATGTTTCCCTGCAAAGATGGGGAAGGGTCTAGGTCATGGCCTCTATCATTAATGTGCCTGTGACAAGGTCTGTATTCTGAAAAATGACTAGCCTCTGAGGCATGAGGGGCTTATCTCCTAGGTCTGAGGACAGTGCTAAGCCAAAGTTCCAGAACTCGTATCTAGAATAACAGAACGAGCACTGGACAAAAGCTGAGTATGTGGCTAATCCAACCTGCTCATCCTTCACAACCTACTGAAAGCTCTGGTTCATCTCATTTGAAGACAGAATCAAACTTAGTCTTCCTACAAATCTGTTCACTTTTCTGATTTTCTCAGGGATTACTCTATCCTTGTAGTCCATACTCAATCTTTTGACTTCTTTCAGAAAACATATCTATCAGTTCATCAGTTATCAAGTTTCGATCGCTCCTCCGTTTCTACGTGCCTATACCTACCCTCTACCTATCTTCTCAGTAACCTACCACATAAAGATTAGTGCCAACTGGCTTCACATAATCAGAGCTATTCCTTTAAATCTCCTCCCCAGCACCTACAATTTCTGATTATGCCCTTAGGGCCCTCTTGACTAGTCCTGATGCCAGCCTCTTCTAACTCAATCTCCCACCTCCGTGTGTATGCACAGACCTGCTCTGATCACATTGGATGACTCACTTGTAATGTTCTCCCTACCTTCACACAGGCTATGGGGTTGAGGCCAGGACTGCCCTGGAGCTTCAAGCAGAAAGGCTTAACTACAGAAAAGGAGACAGCCCCGCTGGCAGCAAGGTTCAGCTCAACGTTCAGCCCAATACTGATGATGTAGAGGTGTGTTCTGAATAGGGAAGCTAATAAAGGAATGGACCCAGTAACAACAGGAGCCAACATGCCCTGAATATTGTTTTGTTTTGTTTTTGCTTTTTTTGGTACCGGGGATCTAACTCGGGTCCTTACGCTTGCGCAGCAGGCAGTGAAATCACTGAGGTAAATCCCCGGCCCGTGCCCTGAATATGTCATTTACACTAAGTTTACAAATGATGGACACCCTTAGTAGTAACAATCACCACTTTGGAAGGTGTTATTAATATCCCCATGTTACATGAAGAAACAGAGGATCATAAGGATTGAATAATGTGTTCAGGGTTCCACAGATAATCAGAGATAGACCTGCCCATTCAAATCCCAATCTGCCTGTTCACAGTTATTTACTCAATTGCTATACTATACTATCTCCCCCCAAATGGAAGCCTTGTAGGGAATAATAATGTACATCAAGTCCTCCTCTCTCCAGTATCATGTGAAACAGATCATCTGAAAGGACTGAAGGCCACATGCAGTTGGAAGGGTCTCCCATCACAAATCATCAAATAAGATGCTACATGTTACATTTTTATCCATTTCACACTCAAGACCAAGCTACAAAGTACTCTTTCTGCAACTGCTTCACTGTACATTGCTCATTCAGCCCATCCAAAAACAAATCTGACAAGGACACACGAATTGCACATGGCAAACAGGCCTACTAGGTCTTTTATGCAGTTCAAACATAAAAGGTGACACCACAGTAAGAGAAGTGAAGTTCCAGTTTGGGTGCCTCCATTTCCCACCCCTGTATCCTGATCCAGTGGCTGCAAAAACAAAAGGAATTGAGTAGGCTGCTTGGTCATGGGGAAAGCCACTGTGGTTGGCCCGGCAGATGGCAGGGGAGGGCTTCATTTCTTCACGATCTGAATGCCATCCTTGTCCTCCAACGTATGGTCTTTACCCACTTTCTGAGGATTGTGTTTCACAGAAAGACCCCAGACCAGAGCATATTTAAATTCTTTGATAAGATTTTTGTGAATCTTCATGCAGAAATCCTCCACAGTGGTCCTGGAGTGAGGCAGCACCATGGGAGATGTGTAATCTGGTAATTGGCCTTTGGGTTTGGTGTAGATTCTCACTAGTTTCAGATAGTCCCAGATCTTTTCCAACAAGTTGTCAAAATTCCAGTGGTGATGGGCAGAGATGGGTACACAGTATTTGTGATTATATACAAAGAGTTACAATATTCTAACTCTCAGCCTTTATTCATTTACTATCTGCCATGACAGTTGTTGGGAAGAAAGATATAGTCTCAGTTTGTAGGGACTTTTCCTCTTTTTCTCTAAAATTTTCAGTCTTCCCGAATGGACACCATCTACCGTCCATGTTGGAATGTTTTGACATTGTTCAAAGATACATTTTGTTTTTCATTAAGTATAGTTTTCTGAAGTGTAGTGACTACCAGCCTCAGTCTTGGCTGAATTCCAACGAATCTCAATTCCTAAATATTGGGAGGCGATTACAACATTTAATTCACACACACACACAAACACACACATACACACAACTCTGATGTTCAAATCTAGTCCTTAATATTCATATCACATGTGCAAGCAAAATTATTAATAACATGAGAGACATATGCATTATTTGTACATATTTCCAAGGATCATTCCCAGTGTATTTTTTTCCATGGCAGGTTTTATTTATTTATTTTTCTTTTAAAAAATATTTAAAATTTATTTATTAGTACATGTTTGCAGGACATGCAGTTTACAATCATCTTAGAGCGTGGGTACATTTGTACAATACAGCTTGTTTCATTTTTTAAAAAATATTATTTTATTGGTACAATTTAGGTATTCAATGTAATGACATTCATCATTGGAAATTTGCACCTGTACGTAATCTATCTTGGTTCTTATTTTTCCCCCTTCCCCTGCCCCTTCAACCCCTCCATCCCTCCCTATTTACAAAGACTTTGTTTCCATTTTTCCATTTTCTCGTATTAATCCACTCCCTTCTTTCCTTTCCCCTCCCCCTCCCCAGCTTGTTTCATTTTTAATCCCCATCCCTTCCCTCCCACCCCCCTCCTCCCTCCCTCCTCTAATCCCTCTTTCCTGTTTTCATTCTCTAGCCCTGTCTCATATCCAACGGATTTCAACAGATCTGAATCAAGCTGGAATATACTCCTAGACTATGGGCTTGGGATGGAGAACTACAAATCTTTCAGTAATTTTTCTCCAGGCGCAGCTTCTAATTAGAGACATAGAATCCTGTGAAATTTCTATCTCTCATTTATACTGGAAACAGCATGGTATGCAGGAAGTTGCATGCTCTTAATCAGGGAAAATAGTGTTCGCTTTGCCCAGAACTCATAGAAAATAAAATTTGTAAGCATTGAAGAGTATTTTATCCCATTCTTTTATTTCACAAATGAGAAAACAAAAGTTAAGAGTTCAGAAAACTTAAGGGATTCATTCAAAGTTGCTTAATTATTAGTTGAAAATCCTAGATTCAAGTCCAATTATTCAGGTTCACAATCCAATGGTCTTTTTATGAAACTTTTTTTCATTTGATATGTGAAATGAATTAAATTTATAGTAAATTTATTATAGATAATAAAGTTTTACATTGATTTCTAAAATAGCCTTCATTAAATCAAACACCTATATTGTGCTTGCTTCGGCAGCACATATACTAAAATCAAGCACCTATTTCTTCAACTCTTTGCTGCTCTGCCGTAATTCTTCTTAAGCTCCATCTAACCTAAAGTAGGGTCAGGCAACTAGAGTCAGTGGTCCTCCAACTTAAGCAAGCATGAGTCACTGGGAGGTTTGGCTAAAATATGGGTTCGTGGGCCCAACTTTCAGCATTTCTGATTCAGTAGGTCTGAAGTATATTTATGTGTGCAACAATCTCTATTTCTAAGATGTTTCTGGGTGCTACTGCTGTTGCTGCTCGGGAACCAGGCTTAGAGTTTGGAGAACTACAAACTTACATGAAGATGATTTAACAACAGTTTTACCAACAAGGTTTTTGATGGTCCTGTCTCTTGTTGCTCAGTCCTGCAGTCTCTAAGATACAGTAAGTTATCAGATATAGACTCATCCAAGAGTTCAGCTTCCCTGCATAGTCACCCAGTTTTTGCTGCCACATGAGTATCAGTGTGAAAATGACTATGTGTCTCCACAGATGGCTAGTGAGTCAATCTGGAATAATAGAGGAGCTATTAACATGACTGATTAGCACTCACAGCTCCTAAAACCTAGCTTCCCTTCCTTCTCCCTCAATGAAATAATGTGAAAAGTGTCAGTGGTAAGAAGACAGGTATAAAGAATGTTTTATGGGTCTCTACTCATAAAAGAATCCTTAGAGAAGAAAGAAATTGAAATATTACTCCAGCAATCAGGAGTCTGAGTTACAGCAATGCGATCTGGGTTAGCTAGTAGAAACAGAAACAGATTTAATACAAGGCATGAGAATATGAGCTTAGGAAAACCTGGGTCCTATGCAGAATCCTCAGGGGGAAATATGAGACTTAACTGTCTAGCCTGTAGTCTACAGGAAGGCATGCTAGAAGGGGATTGCAGTGGATGGTGAACGAACCAGTCTACTATCTGCCATAATTATCATGACCAACTTGTGGCTTATTCTTTGCTGGCAAGATGAATACTAGTAAAATATATGACCTTGATTTTACATACTCACATAAAAATGAATGAATTGGGTCAGCGTTGAAGGAAAGTGAACGGACTAGCAAAGTGAAAATTTTATAAATGTGGTAGTGTACTGCCAGAAAAGTTGGTGATATCTGGTCCTTGTATTCCTGGGATTTCAGAATTCAGAAAGATCTTTCATTTAAAGGGACAGCTTTCTAAAGATAATCTGGTACATACTGCAACCCAATACTGAGTATTATTGGTGGCTCTAGTGTTTATATTCAGAGCACCGTGGTTCTATAGTGTGTGACAATTTATTGACATTGAAAGTTTTGAAAAGTAATATTTAGCTGTAATATGTTAACTATAAATTTATTATTTTACACTGAATGTGGGAAAACATTATAGGATCTGGATGCAGTGGCACACTCCTATAATCCCAGCTTTCAGGGGGCTGAAGCAGGAGGATCCCTGGAATACCTACTGGGTTCCAGATCAAACTATATAATGAGACCCTATCTCCAAACAATCAAACCAAACCAAACAACAGCATCATTGGCCTGAGTGGCCAACAAGTCCTTTCCAGAATTTTAAAACTTTAGATGTCTTAGTTTACGATTAAAATTATTTTTGTGTAGTTAGGACTGTAATGCTGTAGGCTAGGCAACACTGAATTGAATATAAGGCTGAAGGATCCTGCCTGGATTCCTCATTTTTCTTCCATCTGGTAGTCACTGATGGCTCTGCCATTGTGGGAAGCATCTAAGCCATTAAAACAAAGAGGCTCACAGTGCAGAGGGTTAAACAAAATGAGTCACAGAAAGAGCAGGCAATAGAAGAGCGGTGTACTGACTCAGTTATATGTAATACAGTTCCCATCCCTGTGTTCAGTTTGGCTATAGCAACTCTTCCCTAGATAGTAGGAAAGGTAAAAGAAGAAGTAGAAGACACTATGCACATCACTTCTGGCTCACATCATGTTAGTCAGAACTCAGTTACAGAGACACGCCTACTTTTAAGAGAGGACAGGAATTGCTCCCTATAGTTAGAAGCCCCAAAACTCAATGAAAATTCATGTAAGGAATTCAGTTACTAAAAAGGGAATGAACAGTTGTTGGTAGAAAGCTAAGTCTTTGCTGCAGTGGCTTATGAGAAATTGTGGGTTGGTTTTTTTCCATCAGTGCTGGTTCACGGGTGGACTCCACCGTGACCATCATTAAGGACTCCACTATGTGGGGGAAGTGAGGCACCTTGGAACAGTCAGGGAGGGGAGCTCTTAAATCAATTTCCTGGTCAACAGAGCAGAGGATGATAGATCTTGGTGTACAAGGGGATCTCAATTGTTACTGAGTCCAACAAATACCTGAGAATCTTAAGCAAAGTGCTTATCTTTTATTTTTTTCCTTA